TGCTTACAGATAATCATTAAAGAAAATAGTTAAAATAGGTAAAAAAATATCATAATTTCAATTAAAATAAGATAATTTTTATAAATAAGAATATATTTTAATTATACTTATCAAAAAAAAATATTTGATAATTCAGCAAAAGTAAAAAAGTATATCATACTATTAAATATCTAATAAAAATTTATGTTTGAGATTATTTTTTCACTTCAGAATTTGGCAAGCTAATATACTTTCAAAGAAATCTGGATACTAATTTTATGTGTAGTATCTATGAGCAAGATCTTCTAACTTTCATCTCTGAGCTTTTTGATAAGAATAACATAAATTAATTTTTGCAAGAAGATAATAATTTCAAGTACTATTTAAAAATTACAAAAAAATAGAAGAAGAAAAATAATATCAAAGTATTCTCTTGGCTATCAATATTTTTAGATTAAAATCTTATTGAAAATGTATAGTATCTAATGAAAATTAGTATACAGAAAAAAAATTAATATAGTTAAAGAGTTGAAGAGAGAACTTATAAAAGAATTTCTTCCAAATTAATAGCAAAATTGACTAACAGTATAAAATACCATGTAATCATACTTATATATTTGAATGATAACTATATAATATGTTAAATAATTCAGTTAGTTATATACTTTAAATAAAAAAAAAGTTATTTAAATTTATTTATCTGTGTGTGTAGTTATAATTGGTAGAATACTTTTGTATGTTACTATATAATCTCAAGTTTATTAATTAATTCATATATTTTTTTAATAAGTACTTCTTCAAAAGTGAGATTGTTAAAGTTTTTTAACTTAATATTTAATGATATAATTACTTGTTAATTATATATTAGTTAAAAGAGTTTAAATAAAATTGTACTTTATTTTATTATTCTGTAAGCAAATAAAACTAAAAGTAAATAATCTTTCTTATAGAGCTAAATATATTTTGATAGTGAAATATATAAAGTTTAATTTAGTTTCTTTATTAAAGATATTATCTTAATTAATTATGACTTGTAATAATTAATTAGAAAATTATAATTAATTATGATAGTTAATTAAAGAATTATAATCAAGTTATAATATTATCTTTACTCTTTATTAATTTATTTATTTAAGAATAATAAAAAGTAAATAATTTATGTTTGATCTGATATTTTTCTAGTAATTTTTTAATTATTTTATTAATAAATATAGTTTTTTTGTTACTTAATATTTCTTTTGAAAATTCATATCTTATTATTATATTTTTATAAAGAAATAAAATAATTAAAGTTGCAAAAGTATCTGTAATAAATCTTGCTTTAGTTTATTTAATTAGATAGTTAATAGTAACTATAATATAGTGATTTCTATTACTAGTTACTGAAAGAAATCTTACTAAATCAAGTTTAATCTTTTCAAAAGATATATTCACTTAAATTAGTATCATTCTATTATTCTTGCATAGTTATTTATTTTATTAATATATATTATAAGTTTTAATATATATATATTTATATCTCTATATATCTAAAACTAATTATTATTTAATTATAGATAGTTTTAATTCCAAAATATTTAGATATAATATTTAAATAATTATTATAAAAAACTAATTTAACTTTAGTTAATTTAATAACTAATAGTAGATAATTAATATCTAATTTATTTTTTTATATAATTTATAATTTTGTATAAAATACTTCTTCAATTCTATTAGCAGTCACTTCTGTTTTTTTTGAGAATTTATTAGATATTATTAATATATTTAGATAATTATACAATTTTATATAGTTATCTAAGTTCATATTTTATTATTTTCTTTTTTAAATATAAGCGATATTTGAGAGAATAAATTAATATTAAAATAAATTCTATCAGATTTATATTTAATTATAAAATTATATTCATGTAGAGCTATTATTTAGCATGCTAATCTTTCAGGAGAGTTTGATTTATTAATTAATCAATAAATATTTAAAAATTAAATATATATTTATTTAATAAATTATATTAATAATTTCTAATTCTTACTTTTTTCTAGTTATATTATATATTATTTAATATAATTAAATATATTAATAATAAATTAATATATATCCAGATTATTTCTTAAAATTATAATAATTTCAAATTAAATTATAAAAACCAAGTTCTTAAATCTTCAAGATAATAATTATAAATTTAAAAGTCTTAATAATAAGTATTTACTTAATGAAAAATTAAAAATTTTTAATAATTTAACAAGTAAATAATAAATAATACTCATTAATAATTTTTTTGCAAATAACAAATCAATTTCTTTATCTTAATCAATATTTATAACTATTTAAGAGATTATTACTATTATAAATGAAGAAAATATAATCAAAATTAAGTTTTTAATTATTATCAATTCATTATTAAATTTTATAAATAATTTTAATTATTCAAATTATTACAAATTATAATAAAAAACTTATAATTAATTATGAGAAATTTTACAAAATATTAGAAATTTATAAAATAAACTTGAGAAGAAAGTGAAAGTAGAAAAAGAAGAAGTGAATATATAAAATTAATATAATCTTGACTCTTGGTCAATTAGCATTTTAATTTAATTTTTTGATCAATTATAATTTTTATTTTGTTTATCAATCAGTATTTAGAATTTAATCAATTAGTATTATTTAATTTTTTGACCAATCAGAATTTTAAATCTTGTTATATATTAATGATTATTACTATAAAAGATAATTCTATATATGACAAAATACCAGACTGTATTATATTATAATTTGCTTAATAATTTATTAAAAAAAAATTTTTTTTAATAAAAATCTGATATAAGAAAAATATATTTAATACAATATCAATTTATTAAATAATTAAATAAGTATAATATTATATTATTTACATAACATGTTTTAATTTTTCTTTAAAAATAAATATTTTAAAGATATTACTTTTGCTAAAAGAAAAATATTAAAAATTTACTTGCTAAAAATTATAATAATTATCATACTTTTTTTAATTTATATATAAAATAATAATACTTAAAAATTTTATTGAATCTTAATTTTTATTATTTATTTTATCAAATTTTAAAAATCAATTAGTTTAATTTTAAAAAGTAATATCATTTTATCTTCTCTAAATTGCAATTGTTCCGATCATTAGTATTTGAAACAGATTGTAAGTTTGAGCACTATATATAACTTATTGCAATATTGAAAGATAAATAAATTTCCTTGCCCATATAAAGAAACCGTAAAATCTTTATTTGCTGTATTAACCAAGTTGGAAAGGATAATATTCTTGATAGGAAATAAACCCATTGCATAATGCATTAGCCACTGTGTATTATGATATTTCTCACGTTCAATATATTATTAAAAACTGGTTATATACAACGACGATGATTTGTATATTTTAACTTTATACTACATATAATTAGCAATATTCTCGTGATTTTCTATGCCTGACGCGTTATTTTACGTTCTTGCGATGACATTAAAATATCGATAGCAAATTTTTCTTGTATCTTGAAATACAAAAAATTTGAACCCCATTGATAACTTCCCGATCGGTCGGCATATCTAGAACGTTCGGGTACACAAATTAAAACATTCATATGTTAAGGGATTCGAAAAAATTGTTTCGGAACAATGGCTCTTACTAGTTCATCTTCCTCATTTTCAAGCTGTGAAGAGCATATAAATAATTGGGAAAATTTGTGTGATAAATTTTACACAGAAAACAATGAATTGATAGGATCAGTCGTTAGCTTAGTTGAATTTGCTATTCGTTCGGAAGGAGAAGTGAGGATAAATTGGACTATTATTGATAAAATAGACGACGATTCTGCAGCTAAAATAAGCCAAATGCTCGCCCAAATTGGATTTATTAATGATGTAATGATTCATCCAGAATATTATGAATCCTATCTTGCCACTAAACGAAAAATAAGATCAGATTGGCATAGGAAAAAAGCAGCAGAACTTTATCAAGAGTTTGATCGATTACTTCATTCGCCTACCACGCAATATACACAGCTTCATCGTCGATCTGAACTTCAAACTTTTCTTAATCAATATAAATCTTCGGTGGGAGCGGCTTCTTTCATCAAAGGTCTTTGGCATGCATTACGATTACAAATAAATCATGAAAATCTCGTTTCCTGGACATTTTTGGATGGTAAAGCTCAATACAGACTTGAAGATAATGATTAATAATAGAATAATAACAAATGTTATATTTTTCGTTTAGACATTTTCACACAAAATGAACCGGATTTCATGCGAGCATCGGTGAACTTGTTGATTAATGTATTAGGTTTTACGCATACAATACAAGTTGCTGATGAAAGTGGACAGCGAGCGAGTATGCGTACTTGGTATTTAAATAGCACTTTGAGTGATCATGAAATCAAATCATTTATTAAATTATTTCCAAAAGATAACATTACTGATAGTGTTCTAGCTACTGGAACCATAGACTTATCCTCTCAATTACGATCATTAGAAATGGTCAACAACTCAAAATCCACAATTGCCCGTTTGATTTCATTACCCATCGGAATTTTTACGTTCTGTTTGAATACCTTAAAATCCTGTGTGAAATTTTGTTTTGGTATTTTTTCATGGCATAAAAAGAACGAATCTCAAGCTT